GTCCAACAGTATACAATGTAGTTGATTTTATAATACAAAATTGCCACAGCTGCTTAATTATAGAAAAAATTAAACCAACAATTAATCATGAAACACATTCAATCCTCATTGAAGATGCTAAAAATGAATCATCTCCTCTAATTAAAAGAGTATTTATTAGATAGAATGATGAACTAGAAGAAGCTGATGAAGAGTTTTAAATAAGAAGACAACAATATGAAACTGAAAAACAATGTTGATTTTTTGTCAAAAAATTTTTATATTTGTTGAACAAAATCATCAAAATTATAGATTTGAATGAATATGTATTTTTATTTATTATAATTGTAAATTAAACATATTTTAATAACTCTATATATCATTATTTTTATTTATTGCTGTTTTTGAAATAGTCTGATCAGGTGATCTGGGATACAAAAAAATTATTTCAAATATTGTGAATACTACACAATCACATATATTAAAAATTAGCCAAATAAATAAAAATCTTGTTTTTATGTTATTTTTTATTGTCTACATATCAACATTTGTTTTTATTAAATTATAATGTACAATAATATATTAATAAAATCATTCTTATATAATGTATGTTGATGAATTTATTTTAATAAATATTTTATATTAGTTTCCTCAAATGAATCCTTATCCAGGAAAAAATAGTATAATTGTTCTTGATAATATAAAAATTCATCATAATGAAAATTTAATAGAAATTCTTGAAGAATTGGGATGTCATATTATTTTTCTTCCACCATATTCTCCAGATCTAAATCCAATAGAAACAGCATTTGGTACTGCCAAAAGTTGAATTAAATTAGATTGTGACTTTATGAATACACATGTTGATCCAATTCATGCATTAATGATTGTATTTGGCAACAAATTATTTTAAAGATTCAATATATTTTCTAAAATAGACAAATAAATCAAATAATAAAATTACATATATTTGTAAATTTTAAAGCTTCAATTATTTTTTTAAAAATAAATAAATATAATTAAAAATATAAAATTTTATTATTATTATTTAAAGAAAATCACTAACCTGTGATTCAATTTTTAAATTTTTATAATTTATAGCTCATTAGATTCATCTTATTGAGGTGAACATTTTGGTAGTTGTTTTATTGAAATTGGATTTCTCTACACAAAGTTAATGTTCATGCTATTTAAAGAGATTTAACTAATCTATAATCCAATTTTTATGAAATATAGCTCATTAGATTCCTCTTATTGAGGCAAACATTTTGATAGTTGTTTCACCAAAATTAGACATATTGAAATCAAGTTATTAATCAAAAAGTAAAAGCAATTTTTTATAATAATTGCAGGTAGTAATATTATAATCTGCAACTCATAATTATGTGTGCCATCTTTATAAATAATAAGATAAAATTTATTTTTAAATTTTAATGATTTAATATATTTTTTTAAAAAAAATGAATAAATTAAATAATAAAATCAATTATATTTTATGATCAAATATATTTTTATTAACAATGGTACTAAAATATCAATACAAATATTAAAATAATATTTATAAACTAATATTTATTAGCAGCTTGTTTTATATTTTTTCTCCACCCTATTTTATTGACCCCATAGAAATTAACTCATCATCTGTTAAATCTTTGATAACATTTACAGTTACATTTTCTCTACAAATGTATTTTATAATGATTTATAAACTCCATTGCCATTATGTATATCATTCAACCCTGATAAAAATTCACTAATATGTGGATATTTAGAATATAATTCAGAAAGATTAGATGCTAATTTTTCAAATAAAGGATAAGAATTAATGATAAGAAATGGAAAAAGGAAAAAGCTGTTAAGGAATTGTAATAGTTGTAGAAGTGACAGGACATTATAATTAGAAGATATTGATGTTGAATTAATTGGCTTAGCATGAATTGCTCCAAAAGTAGGATTGGAAGAAGGAACAACAATTGTTGTTATTCTTTGTATCTAAATTATAATAAAAATCAATATAAAAAAAATTAAAAATTAAAAAAAAAATTTAAAAATAATAAAACAATTTACAATGTCTCTTGTTCACAAAGTTAATCGTGCTGGTGTTAACTAGTTATAACTTCTAACATGACCATGCCAAAAGAATAAATGTCAGATGCTTGAGTGTATTCTCTTCTACTCAATGTCTCAGGTGCCATGTATGGAATTACACCATAAATTTTTTCTGCATCCTTTTCTGAAACTGGTTTGCACAGTCCAAAATCTGTAATATAACTTAGAGTCAAAGTTTGATTGACTATATTACCAGAATGAAAATCTTTATGCATTAAGCCCATTTTATGAATATTTGTAAGCCCATTTACAATAGATAATAATGTTTCATATTTTTTTCTCCAAGTAAAATTTTCAAAATTGCTATTTAACAGTTTTCGAAGACTACCATATTCTGCATATTTCATAACCATCATGTATTCATTTTGGTTGGATTTTTTAGTGATGCCATATATTTCAACTGCATTTTTACCTCGAAATTTAAGTTGATTTTTTAATCTAAAATATTGTTATAATTTAAAATAATGAAATTAAATAATGAAATATTTCCTCTTGCAAAAATTCATTTTTATTTGTGGAATTATCATGACTTTTTAAGCAAACATCTGTTTTTCTAGATCTGTCCCAATTTTTTTTGAATTATCAAAACAACAAATAGGTCCATCAAGCCATTTTGCTTTGTATACTGTGCCAAAACCCCTTTAGCAAGGTATGTGACATTCTCAAATCTATCAAATGGAATCCACTCAATAACTTCTTGATATTTATTCGCCAATAGTTGTATTTGTTGAATAAATTTATCAATTTCTTTGTCTTCACTTGTCCACTTATCAAAATCATTTTGAAATTGTTTACTACACTCCCTAAAAAATATTATTGATAATTAATTTATATGATATTGAATTATGATTTCAATAATTATGAATTTAAATATAATTTATATTGATTAGTTTATAATTTATTAGAAAATTTTGAATTAAGTTGATTTCAATAATTATGAATCTAAATACTTAGAATTGTTATATGATATTGAAACATTGATTTCAATTATTATGAATCTAAATACTCACTGACTATTATATTGATTAGTTTATAATTGATTAGAGAATTGTTATATGATATTGAATTAAATTGAAACATTGATTTAAATAATTATGAATCAAAATACTTACTACCTATTTTATTTTGATTAGTTTATAATTGATTAGAGAATTGTTATATGATATTGAATTAAATAGAAACATTTGATTTCAATAATTATGAATCTAATACTCACTCACTGTAATATAACTTATATTGATTAGATTAGAGAATTGTTATATGATATTGAAGTAAATTGAAACATTGATTTAAATAATTATGAATCTAAATACTCACAAGCTGTAATTAATTTGTTTATAATTGATTATGAACATAATTAAATATATGTAAATTATTAGTAATAAATTATGGTTTTACTTTAAACCATTTTAATAATATCATTGAATAAACTTTTTTTTTTTTTTGAATTTATATTTTTTATCTGAAATAGAGATGAAATAATTGTTTTTTTTTTTATATTTTATGTTATTTGACATCTTTTTATCTATCTTTGTCTAATTCTATTACGTATTATTATTATAATATATCTTTTTTTTAAATGACTAACGGGCCTCCTCTTTATTCATAAATGAATGATATTGTAAATATAAAGTAAAAATAAAAATTGGCCAAGATAAAATCTATTACAGTAAACCCTTCACTACTTTTCTAACAATTCTTTAATTTTTATTTAAATTTAGAAAGTTTTTAAATTTTTTCTATTACTATAATCAGTATAAATAGTATAGCCAGTATAAATAGACGTTAAGATTAAGTAAATTTACATCATTACATTAGAATAGTTACATAAATATTATACGACTAATTTTTTAAAAGAATTTTCTCTTTATTTTTTTTTCTCTCTTAAAGTTCTATTTCTTAGACAAAAAAAAGGCAACTAAAATTTCCACAGAAATATTATCAAGATAATTAAAATAACGATGCATCACCAAATCTTTCGTGAGATATGTAAATTAATAATAAATCAGTGCACATTTTGGTGAATTTAAATTAATGGAAGCTCTCAAAATTTTTTAGAATAAGTTCTTCAAACGCAATTATTTACAAAACTTATTAGCTTTCAAAAACGTTTAGAAAATTTATTAACAATTGATAATGGTCATATAAATTGTAATTCATTATTATAGGTTATCTTCAGTCAAAAAAAAAAACATCAAAAAGTTTAATTTCATTTTCTACAAATGTTGTCAAATTAACTTTATATATAATTTAAATACTAAAAATTAATAGAAATGTTTAATAATAATTTTAATTAATTAAGAAGATTTTCATTTTAAATTAAAGAACATTTGCGTCTGAATGTGGAGAAATATTTTATGCTAATTAATTAGTATTTCATCTGGCTGGGAATTTACCGAAATCACTTGAAACTATTATGATTAAATTAGATTAGTGGGAATTTAGTGCTGATGGGCTTTTTGAAGGGTGGTGTTGTAAAGGAGGAGGAAGAAATGAAGTTAGAATTTTATTTTAGTGAGCATTTTAAATATTTATTAATCGAAATAAAATACGAAAAAAAAAATTAAACGAAATATATTATTTAAATTGAATTCATGGCTACACATTGAATCTTAAATATTGAACTAAATTTTCCACAGAAATTTTAATTATAATTTTAAATCATTTCGTGATTTATATTCATCATTATGAATCTGGTGTAAAGTTAATCGCATGGTGGAAGTTTGTCCATATTATTGATCGATTAAAGTGATGATAAATTTAATCGTCTAATTACATATGTTAAAAAAATATACATTAGACAACTTTCCAAGTTTACTATACCATCTGGATAATTTTGACAACTCGACTATGGGTTTGTTCAAACTGTGTATAAAACTCACAAAATTTCCGTGAATCAAATCAAGTAATATCTAGTTGACAAGAGCTAAGGAAAGAAAAGAAAAATACGTGCCAAATTGATAAATTAAATTATTATTGCATTGGACACAAAATTAATGATAAAAATTACAAAATTTATTCTTTCAATTAATGTTTTTCGGGAAAAAAAAAGGAAATGTAATTCGTCAATATGAAACATAAAAAAAAAAATATAGAAATGAATCTTGTGTTCATGCAATAAAATTATATTGCGTTACTTATTTCTTTATAATTTTTAAAGATGTAGCGTTCAACGATTCGATTATAAAGATATTATTTTTTATAACCTAATACTTTGGAAACTTCTCTTTAACTCTTTACAGGCGAGACATCAAAATATTGATTGTCAAATGCAATATTATGTCTCAAATACTTTAAAATATTTTTAACAACAATCATCATGTCCAAATTTATTATTAATTTGACTATTTACTGTAAATTATTTATTGGAAATAATAATATAAAATTATTTCAAAAGGCTGTATCAATTTGAAATTATCTCGTATTCTTTTTTTATATACAGAAGTTGAACTAGTAGAAGTAGTTTAGAAGAAGTAGAATTTTTTGTTAAATTTGAAAAATATTTATAAATCTAACGATCTAGTAGAAGTAGCGAAGTGGCATCAACATCAAGATTTTTATTTTATTTAATGCTTTTTTTTTTATTTTCTCTTTGAACTTGTCACGTAAAAGATCTATCATGATATTTGAAATGCTATTCGATTTTTACACTTTCAAAATGAACAAGAATTTTTGCAGGCGTTATATATAAAAAAATTTAAATACAAAAATAAAACCAATTTATGCCATATCTTATATGTACTGTATATACGGAAGCCAAAAGCTTTGCCATGAATTATGATGTACTTGTTACATAATAAATAATGAATTAAGAAAAGAATATCAATCTTTGGTCCCTCTTAATTTTTCAAATAAAAATTTACATTTGGGCCATTTCTCATGATAAAAATTATTTAGTATTAGTTATTGAAAAAAATTGCACTTAAATTTTTTGCAGCGGTTGACTTGGTACGTAAATTGAATTTCATCAAATTTAATTGTCAATTATATTATTTTATTTCAACATTTAAAATTTTGATGTATTTTTGCCTTGTGTTAATAATTATCCACCTTTGCCAATTCTTCACGTGTATACGGTGGATAAAGAATTACGTAAAATTTAATATCATAATTAAAAAAATAAATCATCCATCTTTTACAGTCAACTCTCGATAAAAGAAACTTTATTTGTGAAACTGATTTTCCATAAAAATGCTGTAATAAGTTATATTGAATTATTTATTTTTTTTAATACATTCAATTTCAGTAATTCTGATCAGTATATATAAGTTAAGATTGTCAAAATTTTCCGGTTACTGTGTATTTTTATAAAAGAAACTTTTGCACACGGTAACCGGAATTATATTTTTTTGAATAACATAAAAAAAATATAATTTTTTTTATCAAAACGTGTAAAGCTTTAATTCTTCATTTGAAAAATTATTAATATAGTTATAAGTAATTTATAAATTGATACAAGACAATTATTTACTTTTTAATAGCATATTTTATATACATATAAATAAAATAAATGTTTTCTGCCTTCTTTATATAATTTAATTTTAAAACGGAATTATATTTTAATATTAAGGAATAATCATCTGAATTTTTTCAAAAGTGGAAATAAAACCAGAGATAAGAAAATTTCAAATACCAATCAATGAATAAGAAAGAATTTAAACATTGAAATAATTTTATTTATTTAAGGCTGTCCGAACATGCAGAAGAACAATCAATTAAAATTTGATTATTATCAAAACATTTATAAAATGCCAATTAAAACTTTTATTACCAAAATTAATACAGTAAATCTTTTGCATACAAAAAATCTTCTCTAAAATTATAAACATGATTTTTTCTATCGCTTCCCTTTAAATGCTGGATTTTCTTATTTTCGTCTTTTTAAGGAAGAACATCATTCCGAAATTTCTCAACTTTTAAAAGAAGGTCCAACAGTTTATAATGTGGTTGATTTTGTAATTCAAAATGACCACAGCTGCTTGATTAGAGAAAAAATTAAACCAACAATTAATCATCAAACTAATTCCATTCTTATTGAAGTTGGAAATGAGCCATCACCTCCAATTAAAAAAGAATCTTCTGGATGGGATGATGAACCAGAAGAAACTGACGAAAAATTTCAAATAAGAAAACAACAATATGAAACTGAAAAAAAAATGTTGGTTTTTTGTTAAAGAATTTTTATATTTTATTGGACAAAATTATCAAAACTATAGATTTGAATAATATGTATTTCTATTTATTATAACTGTAAATTATATATTTATATCCATCTTTATATATATATATATTAAATAAATCAATATATCATTATTTTTTATTTATATTGTGAAATTTTTTGTCGAATAGTATAAAGAAGTTCCAATTGAATATTATTTAATTCTAATCCTAATTCTTGTTCTATAAATTTTAAAACATTATTAATACCCTGCATAGCTAATTTTGGTTTAATCTTTTTAACTGGTAGTGGTTTATGTTGAATTAAGTCTATAATATCTTCATTTGTCACATCCATATTTTGAATTTGAAGTGAATCATCAATTTCAATATAATCATTTGAGTTAATAATATCTTCATGATCATAAGGTAATTGATTAACCAAATTCTGAATTTCTTGAATATTAGACTCTTGTAAATGGACCAATTCTCCAGTAATTGTACTATCAAAAATTGTACTACTAAAAGATGGTGTTTCAGGAATATCAATTTCTAAAAATTGTGAAGATGATACAATATCTGTTTTTTTCCAACAATTTAAAATAGTATTACAACTGACATTGTTCCATGCTTCAGCAATCCAATCATTGCATGTTTAATATTACTTTCTTCTGGCATTTCATTAGTATTATATGTTAAATTAAATTGATCTATTTTAAATTTCACAAGAAATTTTTGATACTGTGATTTAAATGAATGAATTATGCCTGCATCCATTGGTTGTAAATGTGTTGTAGTATTAGCAGGTAATGGATGCAATGCAATATTTGATAAATCTTCTGATTTTAAACTTTCCTCACTACAATGAACAGCAGCTTGGTCATATAAAAGAATAATTAATCAGTTTTCATTATTCATTTGTATATTTAAGTTAATTAAAAATTCATTCCAAATTGTTGTAGTCATCCATGCTATATTATTCCAATAATAATTAACTGGTAAATCTTCTTTTTTTATTCTTAATAGTGGACAAGGTGTTTGATAATAATGAATTATCAATGGTTTTATTTCAATTGTACCTGGAATATTTGAACATAAAAGAACTGTAACCTGTTGCTTATTTCTCTTCTTTCCAGAAATTGCTTCTTTAGCAAGGAATTTTGATGGTCCCATTTTCCAAAATAGTCCAGTTTCATCACAATTAAAAATATTTTCCAATGGCCAATCCTTAAACAAATTTTATAACATTTTTCTAAATCTTGGAAGATCTTTAAGAGGTGCACTATTTGCTTCTCCATGATGCACAAATTATTTCAAATTAGCATGTTTTTTAAAATTAGTTAACCAACCTTCAGATGCTTTAAAGTCAGTAATATTGAGAAGTTTAGCAAATTCTCTTGCTTGATAAGTTAGAATAAATCCAGTTATAGTTGAATTAGCTTTAAGTGCATTATTTACCCATATTACTAATGCTTTTTCCAATAAAGAAAATTTTGAAGGTCTTATTCTTTTCATTTGAGCTTCATGACTATTAAGATCAATATTGATCCAGTAATCACTATTTTTAAGAATTTTGAAAATGGTACTTGCACTAATATTAAATTTCTTTGCTAATGCTGGATTTGACAATGTTGGATTTTGTTGTTTTAATGAACAAATTTCATGTTTTTGATTATTTCTCAAACTATGTCTAACAAATCTAACTGAGATATGTTTCATCTTATCTGAAATAAAAATAAAAGTTACAGAAAGAAAAGTATGTTTATAAATTCAATGAAATATTTAATATGCTATTTGCAATTTATAAGATACTATATTTAAATTTATAAGAGAATATAAATCAGATTATCAATAATTAATTAATTCTGAAATATCTGGATAAAATTCAGTCTTTTAAATGCATTTTTAATTATAAATAAGCAAAATGAAATTAAAATATGATAGTATTCAACAATAACTAATGTCATCTAAAACATGTTTTACTAGAAATTCTATGTTAAAATAAAAAGAATGTTTAATTACAATGAAATTAAAAATTCAAAAAATACATAAAATTGACAATAACTAAATATCATAATGGCCACAATTTAATTATTAATGATTTCAATAGTCACAATGAATATATTAATATCATCTAAAACATGTTTTATTAGAAATTCTATGTTAAAATATAAGAATGGTTAATTATAATAAAATTAAAAATTCAAAGAATACAATGAAATTTAAAAATATAACAATAACATAAAATATAAAGAAATAACTGACAATTAATTAAAACATACATATTACCTTAATTTATTAAACAAGATCTACTTGAATTACTGATAAAAATGATCACCTTTAAAAAACTCTATAAGAAACCCTAATTATGATAACAATTTGTTTATCAAAAATGCAGCAATTTTGATAAGAAATCAGTTTCACAAATAAAGTTTCTCTTATCGAGAGTTGACATCCAATCACGTGAATAATTTATCAATTAATAATACTAAATGGAGTCAAATAAAAAGCTAAAGTATCGTTTTTGAGACACCTATGGTTATTTTTTTGATATATCAAATACGTGTGACAAAAATGATCATTTTTTTGATATGTTTATAATTGTTTTATTTATAGATGCATCAAAAAAATAACTATTTTGTCACATGAAATTTGATTTATCAAAAAAATAAATATACCAAAAACAATACCTTTGCAAATAAAAATGTTGTCTAACGTGACATGCATAATCCAAAATCATGTTATAATGAATTTTGATTCGAAAAAAAAATATTCTGGAAAAATGACATTTAATTTTTTAAAAGAGCTATCTCAAGACTTTTCAGAACTTCTTAATGATAAAGAAGAATATAATGTTATTATTGAAGTTGGTCAAGGACAAACTAAAAAACCTTCACTGCGCACTCGGTTATATTACGTTGTCGTTCATATTACTTTAATAAAGAATTAATAAATACTGTTCCCAATGATGATAATAATAAAATTATTATTATTAAATCAAATATTTCTCCTCAAATGTTCGAAACTATTCTTAAGTAAGCCTTTAATTATTTGCATTAATAGACTATTTTTGTGCGATGTAAATTGTAAAATATTAAGTTAAATAATTTGAATAATTTATAATTTATACAGATATATCTATGGCGGTATTATTAATACGGAAAATATGGAAACCAGAACTATGTACGATTTGATGATCCTTGCTAACGATCTGGAGTTTAAGGAATTATCTATGAAATTAGAAGATCTCTTTATTGAATCCAAAGCTTCTTGGTTAAGAACTCATTTTTCGTTTGTTTATCATTCAATTTTTATACATAACAAATTTCGGAATTTAGAAAAATTTTGTAATGATATTATTGTAAAATATCCAAATATTATTTTTGAATCCAATGAATTCACTAATCTTCATGAATCTGCTTTAGTGTCAATTTTAAATCGAGATGACTTACAGATGAAAGAATCAGAAATTTGGGATCATGTAATTAAGTGGGGAACTGCACAGAATCCTACCTTACCCGAGAAATTAGAAGAATGGTCAGACGAAAACTTCGCGACTTTAAAAGCAACTCTACAACAATGCTTACCACTTATTCGTTATTTTCACATTTCAAATTCAGATGTTATTGATAAAATTAAACCATATAAAAAAATTCTTGATAATCAGTTATGGAATGATTTGAAACAATATTTTATACTGCCCGATCAACCAATAAAATCAATTATCCTTCCACCGAGATTGATTTTAAAACAAGAATTACCAGTAAGAATAAATGAACCTGAACCATTTTCAATTATCATTAATGAAGAACAAGAATCTCCTGTTTACCAAAAATGTCCTAATCCACAACTACAACAACCTCCACAACAACTTCGACGACAACAAGAATTTAAACAACTTCAACAGCAACAATTTCGACAACAACAACTTCAACAACTACGACAACTTCAACAACTACAACGATATCAACAAAAACAACAATATCAACAACAACAACGACTTCAACAACAACGACTTCAACAGCGACAACAATTTCGACAACAACAACTTCAACAGCGACAACAACAACTTCAAAAACAACAACAACGACTTCGACAACTTCGACAATTACAACTACAACAATCCTAGTGGTAGGAAAATTTTTTGATCATTCAACATGTGACCTCCTCAACAACTACAACAACCACCACAACTACAATAATCTCCACATCTACTATAACCACGTACAATATTCCCAACGTGATCATAACTGAATACAACGTTTAGATAATGGAACACTAATGATAAATGTTTTTATATTCTATATTTTTTTCAACGGAGTCTTACTCCAATAAACTTTATTATATTTTATATTTATTGAACCTAACTAAAAAATGTTTAATTTTACTGTTCCGACCATCATTGCCCAAGTCAGGCTTAGGAATTAATGACCAAGACTCCATCAGTTATCTATAATTATGGTTTAGTTTATGTTCAACTTCCCATCTTTTATCATGGTTTCTATTATACTATCATTTCATTTTTTTTCCCTCTCTCTTTTGATTTCTACATTAATATTATTATTTTCTCTTCCCTTTTCTTTTATTTTTTTCTTTAATTATTTGTAATATTACTTTTTTCACTAATTTTTTAAATAAACTTTAAAATTAATCATTCCCTCTATTATTGTTTCTTTATATTTTAATTTGTTCTTTTTTTAACAAAAGAGTGCAGAATAAACCCTTTAATTAAATATATAAAGTTATGTGATTAAATGAAAATATCTCTAGTATATCTATACTCCAATATCATATTTCACTCTGAGATCCAAATATTGTATCTAAGTTTCATCACGTCTTTGGATTGTAGTCACTAAACATTTTATTAAAATTGTATAATGTTTCTCAATTTGTTTATAATCACAATCATTATTGCCCTTTACATTAAAACATGAATATCGTTTTCTTCAAATTGACCAGATAAACACATTTACCTATGTATCGTGGTCCTCTTTGTCTATTATATCATTGTTATTTTACTTGGATGTACTGATTTAAAAGTGATATCTTTTTTTGTTTTTCCTTCATATAGTATTCTTCGAAATCTATTTTGAAACTCACATTTTTTTGTCTTCTTTTAATTAAATCAATTTTTAAAGTTCTATTTTATTGAGATATCTAATTCCAAATCGAAACAAAAGATCCATTTTGATTTCTTTGTATATCGGAGTCTTCTCCTCCCATTGAATGTTCTGTGTTTTCTGGAATTTTTGCCATTTCGCTAAAAAAATTCATAAATAAATGTTAGGATCTCTTAAATCATTTGAAGATTTATGGGATTTTTTTGCTTCTTCCATAGTTTGTCTTCCTCTCGATATGTTCAAATTCTGTATAGCACACATACTTTCGTTTATATGCTCACATTTTCTTTTACCGGCAGCCTTATTATCATTGCTATTAATATGATCATCAATCCATTTCTTATGGAGAATAAAAATTGTTTAAGTGAGATTGGGATGGGTGATTCTTGACTATTCAAAATTCAGATGTAATAATATTTTTTCCATTGAACCAGTGTACACTTTTAATGTTTGTCTGTTTTTTAATCTTATTTTTAATTCACCAATTATTTTGTATTTAGCAATAATCCTTTTATATATGATGTCATTTCTTTGTTTTGTTAGTTATTTCAGATGTGTTCTCATTCCATTTATCTGTAAATTCTCTTCAGAATTTATTGGTTCTCGATGGATACCTTTGAATAAGCTATCGGTATTTTTATTACTATTTCCATTTCATTGTATAAATTAATTACATAATTATTTTCTTTTTCTTTTATATGTATCTTCTGGGCACCCTTCACATGGAATTAAGACTGATGTGGGCTCAATTTTTTTTTTTCTTAATATATCAAAATGGTTTATATATATTTGATATTGTTAATCATTTTTCTTGCTAGCTGTTCACCTTTGTTTTGAAAAAATATAGTTATTATGTAATTGGAAAAAAAGGATTTAAGTATTCAAATCTGATACTTTCGGAATGTATTTCATTTTTTTTATATTCGTAAAGTTGACTCGTATATGTATCCAATCCAATATCTTTTTTAGTTCAAGATCCAGAATCTGTTCAAAGTATAAAATTCTTTCATATTCTATTTTATAATCCTTTCATAAATTTTTTATTGATATTTTTCCACACATAAGAAATTTGAAATCTGAATATTCTCTCATTTATATTCTGCAATACAATATTAATTTATCTTTTTCCAAATTTATTATTGATGCAGTTAAATTAAAGTATTCTTTATTTTAATTTTCTTTTCAATTTCTAAAAAACATTTATCTATCCACGAAAAGGTTTGAAATTGTTGTAATCGAATATTTATTGAAATTCCCACCCTTTATAAATGCATCGTCTATAAGTGCCTTCCCTTTTAAATGCTCCCTATGATCCAGTCCCATCCACTAATAACACTTATAAAATTACCTTCTATAAATGCATTCTCTCTATAAATACACGTTAATTTTGGTCCCTAGAGGGAGGAGGTACATTTATAGAGAGTTGACTGTATGTTTATTGTAATTGTAATTGACAATTGTAGATTTTGAATAGTCTATAACCCTCAGGCATAAAAATATACTGTTTACAGCCATTTGCTCGAATCCTGTTTTATACTTAAGGCACATTAGGTTAAGACTTGTATATTTATTTTCTTGTCATTGAGTTAACATTCTACTGCTGGAGGAGAATATGATTAATTATCTTACCCGTCATTCTTTCTTAATTAAATTCTTTTGATATTGTTTTTTCCTATAATATAAATAAATAAATAAAAACTATATAACAACAATAAAAAGTGATATAATTAATCTTTTATTGGATCAAATAATCAATATATACAGTATATTGAAAAATGAAAGAATGGGATTGTCTTTATTTTATTTTTTTTTAAAAAAAATCATAAATGTGATTATATAAGAAATAATAATTTCATGAATTATTGTTTCATGATTTTCCTTTTCACTGATTCCGTATTTCTAAAGGAGAGAAGAGGTAAGTATCATTTTTATTTTTTATTTTTTTTTTTAAAAAAAAAAAAAATAGAAATAAATACTTTCGTCGATGGATAACTCTTTATAAGAGACGCAATATATAAGATTCTTGTTCCATAGTACGATAAACCTTTATTATCCTTTTTTTACTTTCAGATTTATTGTGGAATAAACTTTTTGGTTTATCCCGAGGTTACATTACATCAAAGCAATTTTCTTCGAAGCGTTAATTCGATTGTAAATTTTATTTATTTACTTATTTTTTTTTTTTTAAAAAAAAAAACTATAAGTGAACAAAAAATGCCTTACATATTGAGAACGCAATCAAAAATAATTCTGATACATGGACAAGTGGAAATGAAAAAAAAATAGATAAATTTATTCAAAATTCTCATATTATCATCATAAAATTATGGAAAAAGTGGTTTTGCATCATTTATTATGCTGAGTGAATCGAAGAATTCTTTAAATGAGATAAAATAATATTTTAATCTAATGAAAAAAAATACATGTTAATTATATTTTAAAAAAATACATTACGTTACGTATTTAGATGGCAATTCACTTGAGAATAATGAGTGAATGTTCATTAATTCGTTTTTTGTTGGAATTACAAAAGATCCAAAAACTCAAATATATTATTGTATTTATAGTACGTATCACTTTTTCTGGATTATAATTTAAATTGCTAATATAAATAAAAAAAAATAAATATTTGAGAATAAATAATCCTTTCGTGCACAAACTAATTACAGATTATTTATATATAAACTCTCAAATAATTTTTTAGGGAATGAATTTAAATCAATTCTAAAATAAAAAATAGTTTATTAAATATTTTGATAGTAAACTAAAGCTCCCTTGACCTTGAACCCTCGTTTGTTATTAAGATTATTATTAATATAAATAATTTAATTATTATTTTATTACAAATTGTCTCCGCAATATTATTATTATTATTAGAAACGATATACAAAAGCTTCCTTGCGGAAGAAATCTTTTTTTCTTTAACAGGACTTGATCGCGCATGTTCTACGTTCGGAAATTGTACTATTTATTCACGCTACACTGAAAAATTATTTTTAAAAATTCAATTATTATTTTTAATCCTTATTATTTTTATTTAATCGGTTTTTAAGTAAATTAATCTTTTTTTTTTCATTAATTGAATTAAATTTATTAATTAATTAAATTAATTAAATTGAATTAAATTTATTAAATTAATTAAATTAATTAAATTGAATTAAATTTATTAAATTAATTAAATTAATTAAAATGAATGAATGTACACTCATCAAAAGTTTTAAATGTTGAGAAATTTCGACGCGACATAAAAATCATAGATCTCTTTATAAACATTATAAATTCGTTTTGATAATTAAATTTCCTAAGTAATTAATTTAATTGTAATTAATGCAATGATATTTATCTAATAAATGTATCTTTCGTATTGCTTAACGTGTATGAGATTATCAAAATAATAATTACATAATCGCTAAACGCGCAAAAATGAATGACAATTTTATTTTTATTTTTTATTTTATTGCAATTTCATAAATAACTAACTGTTCAATTAATGTAAAAATTTCTCAATTTATTATATTTCAATATATCGATTTTTCAATTAGATGAAGAGTTGCACACAGAACATTTGCAATGGAAGCCATAAGTCGTCTCAAGAAGCTTCCATGTTCGCTTAGTACTGCCAGTTGATTTTATGGTGTTACCAACCCTTGACAAGATACTAGTGTCATACCCCATCGTATAATTAATAAATACTTGATCTCCTTTTTTCATAAAACGGTTGCTTCGATTCCTGATGACAAATTGATCTCGGATGAAATTGGATTTCCAAGTAGAATTGATTTAGTTATAACATCTGAAAGACTGGCATTTGAATCACAATGATGGTTAAAAAGAGGGATTATAGAATATAATTGTCCTGTTACTGTCAAAGGATTTAATAAAGCAGAACCGGCTTTGGTTTTCCTATAAATTGTTAGATAGATCCATGGTTCATATCGTGAATCAAAAATGGGAAGTTCCAATGATTTCATTAATTTAAAGTAGAAGTTGATAGTAATAGGCCATGCTGGAACCATGCAGTTGAATGTTGGAAGGGAAAAATGTGCTTGATCTCTTCAATGTCTAAAGGACAATTATCTCGTTGTTTGGCAATGGCAAAGATTTTAAGAACAAATAGAAGAGAAGAACTAGATGATTTAGATTCACCATTTACTATTCCATATAGTGAATCAAGATGTTTTCCACAAATAGTACGATGGTATAACTGTCAAAACAATCACGACTACAAAAGATTTCAGAAAATTTGATTTCGGTCAAGAGAATTTTTTAAACTGGTCGATTTGAGACAAAAATCACGTCGCTGTTGACCAGGAGCGTGAACCGAAATTAGCGGTTTTACGTTAAACAGAAGGGTTCCTTTTTTTATATTCTTTGTCGCCACTATGCCAAATTCGTGTGATTGTGAAGTATCAGGAAAGCTAACTAATGACACTTTGATACTATTTCGAGATATCTTATCCAAAAGTTTCTGAACAGAAGCAAGACTCTCTAAGTTACAATGCTCTTGATTACGAATGTCCCACGGGTAAGCTCCACGACTTGAAAACTTGCACATTTTTCCAACTTGTTCAATCAATATGTACCGATCTGAGTCCATATTATCTAAAAGCATCGTATGTTGGTAATTTTTTAGAGTAACGATACTTTTCACGTTCACACGCATTCCAATCAATACCTGACACTGGTCGCCTATTAGAAATTTGAGATAGTCTCTCCAATTCCATTGATGCTGATCCATATTCATCGCAATTGGCCAATGCTTCCGCTTTCCTCCATCCACTATTACAAAATAATACCATATCAGCATCCTCATATTTGCCACTAATAATCTTTGGTTCAATGAGAGAGAGTGAATTAATGGCATCAGCTATCGTAAGTTCAGGATATCCAAGTTCAATAAAGGTTTGCGCACGGTTTGACCATAATCGAGGGTCTTTAGGTGTAACTTCAATTCCTTTAGCATACTCTTGTCGTGCGGTTTCAAATTCTCCTTTAACAAATGCTTCATTGCCTTTTTCTTGGAAATTCGAAATTCTTTCTAATGCTTTCTAATGCTGGCGCTAAAATTGGTGAATTGGAAACAAATTCTTATGTGCATGAAGCAGATTCAAAGTTATAGTTATTATTAATATAATTATTATGAAACTTCGCCAAAGGTAGTAAGATCTTTAACTTACATTCGTTGCATTATCAAGAAACATTGCACGATTTCTTTGTAAGTAAAAAAAATCCGAATTAAATTTATATATTTTAATTTAATAATATTTTATAATATTTTATTAATAGGAACAATTAAATATGCAAGATATCATGGATAAAAAATGATAATAGTAAGTTTCAGAAGAACATAATTCCGAATCTGACGATAAATAATTTTTCATAATCAGAAAAAATTCTTTGGATATTAAAATTATTTAAATAATAAGTTAAAATTTATAAAAAAAATTTTTAAAAAAATACAAATTCATTTATTACCTTTAACTAATTTATTAATTTTATTTCGATATTAATTATTAGTCGATATTAGGTTAATAATTAATGATAAAATATTAATTATAATTTCTGAATCTAGAAATAATTATTTTTAATTAATCATCATCACCATCACCAGAGTTACATAATGTATTACCTTTGAAATTTGATTTACTTAATTCGGTTATATCATGAGCTTTATTTTCTTTTTTTCAAATTTAACTACTGAAATCACTTCTATTTTATTGCTGCTTCATCAACTAGTTCTTTTAATTATATGTCAAGGAATCCAAATAAAAAAGAGTGAATTTTTGGACAATAGAATATTATTCAAGAAAATTAAAATTGGTAATTTATAAAAAAAAAAAATACAAATAATTTTGACTCATTTATTCATTTTTAATTCATTAGTTATCTAGATATTATTGGTGAATTATTATTATTATTTAATAGATATTAAACACGTGTGATTAGTGATATCATCACAAATATTAATTGCAATAATAATTTCGATTATTTATATTTATTTTTTATTTATTAATTACTTCTTTTTTTATAATTAATTAAACAAACGTTTATCATTTTTGTCTTATTATGATAAAATATTATTTTTTATTTAATCATCACCATCGTTATCATCAGTAGCAGCAACTGATTCTCCATTTTCTTCATTACGTGGGTGGGTTACGTGACGTGATGTATAATTATCACTATTTTTAATAATATTATCGTTATTATATATGGCATTATTATTATTATTGGGAATTGTTGATTTTTGTGAGTTCTGTTTATTGATATAAACGTTTTTATTTTATTTCTGATGCTAACTTTTTAAAGATTAATAAGGAATTTAAATTCTTTAAATTTTTAGTGCAAGTTTTTATAAGTTGATACATATTCCATTTTAAATTCAATTAAATACAGTTCGCGTACTTTTTTCTTTTTCCCAAAAAGGATCGATTTTCCTTAAAAAACTCAAACTATTATTAATTAAACTCATTTAATAAAATAATAATAATGAATATAAATTAGTTTCCAAATTGAGCATACAATGTAACTTTTACTCAATTGTATTAGTGCCAATATTTTTTTTTGGATTATATAAATACTGAGAATAAATACGCAATCCTTTCATGTACAAGACAAAATGCACATCAAAAATATAAGGTAACTTAATTGCTGTCACTATAAACAAGAATCTTTTTTACCTTTTTAAAGATACCTGTAATAAATTAAATAAATTTACAATTTAGTTATATGAATTCTCATACAAGAATAAAGAAATGATGATTGTTCTACAAAACAAATATCAGCAGCTTATATAACTAACATTTTTCTTCCTTTGTTAATTAAACTTTCAATACCACTTTTGAAATATTAAAGCTTTATTAGCAATTATAATTTCAGTCATCTAGGTGAAATATAATTCAATAAACAAACAATGACACACCAAATCCATATAATGGAACTTAGATTTATAGATTCAAATTCAGAAATTTCATTTCTTGAAAAGTCAAGAGATCACCGGACAAATCAATCCTAAAGAATAGAATTTTAAAATATATGATGGCAAACTAAAAATTCTAGGTATAAATGAAACACACCTCAGTAATTTCATTTGTCAATACTCACTGTGGTATTTGGCACCATTGGTGTGATTTAGTAGTTGTCCAAAATTATTATTTATATTATTATTATTGATATTTACCTCAATGACTTTTATTTTTGTTAGGAGAATATAATTGTTAGTAGAAAATTGGTAGTAAAAATAATTTAGAAATAAATAAATAATGAAATAAATCGTTATTATAAAAATAAAATCATTAGTAGAAATGAAACCGCTGGTAAAAATAGAGCAATACGGTAGAAAAAGGAAATTATTAGTAAAGAGAAAATTGTTATGAGAAAAGAAAATCGTATCTTTAGTAGAAATAGAAAATTCCATTACAGTCAAACTCATACTGTCCGGAGTCCGGATCTTGCAAAAGGGGTATGTTCTGCTTTTGGTTAAAGATATCACAGAAACGATACTTACTAAAGCACCGGAAAGATTTGCTCAACCATGTAAGCAATATAAAGGTCAAGATTGGGAAGAATTAAAATGCTCCAATACTGCTTTCCTCTGGAAAGGTGTAACCAATGTAGAATTCGAGCTTAGATTAATGGGAAACCATGTTGCTCTCAGAAAAAAACCCAAAACATTATGACAACCTTGTCAAGACTCTTAAACGATTTGCATCTGTACCAGATTGGGTTGTTCGTCTTGAACAATTATTCACGATTATCGAAATATTTGATGTTCCACATGAAAGAGACGATTAGATTACAAAATCTCGATGTATTTTGCAAGATGATATTCTAACTCTTAGAAAGTTAAATAACTTTTTTTAATTATCTTAGTGGAATTCTTGCTAAAATTGATAGATTAAAGAATTATCTGAAGCCGGCGATTTTCTAGAATTCCTCAAAAGTATTGCTGAACGTGATATAGAAAATCTTATTAATGGATACGTGGATATTTATTTCGGTTATTTAATTTTACAATAAATTTTATTTAATCACAGGTATTTTAATGATGAGCGATTAAACCAAGAGGATACTGTTGCTTCAATAATTCAAGTCCAGCAACTTTTACTTGAATTGATGAATAAAGTGAAATCGAAAGATATAAATATTAAAAAATTTCTTGCCGATTTGGCTTCCATCAATGCCGATAACCCTACATTAGTTGGAAAATTACTTTGCGTTCAAGTTGTAATATGGCTATACAAAATATGTATAATAACATTTCAAATCGAGGTGAAGTTACTAAAGAAAAGATTCAAAATGCAGTTAAAAAAGGAAATTATTCATTTGAACGTATTGGCAAAGATAAAAAGTTTACTGTTTCGTTGACATATCTCTCCGAAGGGAGTAATATAAAGCCTTATTCTCTGTCTGACTTACAAGATTTGAGAGGACGTGCGTTGTTAATGCTAAACCTACTTCTACAGTAAACAAAAGAAAGGATGCAAATGAAGAACAGATAGAAAAGACCCAAATAATGGATGAATTTATTCGTCAAATTGATTTGGTTCACGAGATTTGTAATGTTGGAGTTAAACTCATACAAATGGGAAATTTTGGCTACCGGCAATACAAGAAATTGATTTCTGATGGCAATAAGATTAAAGAATTAGCCGAGTTGCTTAAATCACTTAAAGAGGATTTGAATCAATAATGTATTTATTATTTTTTTTTAAAAAAAATTGATTTCATGTTTCATAACTAATATGATTATTTCACATATTTCAGGGAAAATATCGTTGATAAAACACAGAAAATTCATTATTACTTGACATTTTCCCCTGCTCATCATATTTTAACTTTTCTTGACTATTTCACTAACGATGAACCAGCCAATGGAGAGATTTGTAAAACTCTTATCCGATTTGTGAACGACAAGGCCAGATTGGTGCCAATCAAAAAAGGTGATTTTAAAATTTCACAACAAAATTATTTCGAAATTCTTTGCGAAATTGGTGCCAAGATTAAAAATATATTCGGTGACATTCCAATTCAACTACGTCCACTAAAAACAAAAGGTGCAGTAGTTCCTTCTGATATAGTGCATAGAGGAAGGTTATTCATTGCTACTTGTAATGATAAATTATTAAATCCAAATATCATCATGTCAATTTATACAAATCAAGAATATTTTCCTGAGCCATGGCAAATTTTGATTTGCAAATCATCCACTACTCTGGAGGAACTTTCAATTGTCCAAATGTTGGATGTGTATCCTCGGATCTATTTGGGCAAGGCAAAAGTGAATGGATTAAACAGTCTAGTTACCTAAAACATAAAATTCATCATAGTTTCCTTATTAGTGATGGGAAGTTGAAGATATCAAATTAACACCAGTATCAATTTCTTGTCAAAAATAAACCAATTCAAGAAATGCTGCCAGCTAAATTTGAGAATCACTTTCATTTTCAATTGACCAATTAAAGCATTGAAAATAATTCAAGATTATGCTGAAAATAATTTAGGCAACATATACACCTACCTATCGGGTGTGTAGTATTTGTAATTTCGACCATTGATAGTAAAGATCGAGATCGGAATGATTAATAAGAAATATAATTTTTTTGATTCTGACTTCAAATTTAATTTATGATGTTATACCTAGAAAACTCCTAAAGTTGGTCTTGTAAAATAATTAAGGAATAATACATCTCATGACTCAATAGGTTTAATTGTATCGATATAAAAATTCATTGATGTTTTATCTGTTCATTCATTTATTATTTTTTTTTTAAAAAAAAAAAAAAAATTTCCACTTACGTACTTACGAACTAATGCAATCAAAAATATAATGATTATTGGTGCATACCACGCAACTCAACACGTTTCAAAATAATTCGATAAAAAAAGAAATAGAATGGATACCTTATGATAGATTTCAAGATATTAAACGAATAGCGAAAGGTAGGTTGTGGAACTATTTATTATGCTGAAAATCAACAACGAAAAATATATGGGGAATTTGAAGTGGTATTAAGAAAGGTCGATGGTAGATTCTGTAAAGTAATATTTTAAATTAATATAATTAATATTAATTATGATGGTTTTACAATGACGATGCTTTATTATCCCAATTGACGTCTAATTTATGAATTTTATAAATAAAACTTATTTAATTTTTTTGATATTATGAAATTCAAATTAATTTAGTTGTAATTACTGAATTAAGATTTTTTTAGAAAAGTTTTTAGCTTTAGTCGACTAAGCCAACTAAGCTTATTTTGATTTATTTAATAATTTTAAATAGCCGAACCAATACTTTTCGAGCACTAGCGTAGCATTTTCGATTCTCCCAGATAGTAAAAAGTTGCATTCTTTTCCGAAAGGAAGTAAGTAGTAATTCAGCGATTTATTTATCTATTTTTTACAAGTTGTAAATATAAATGATTATTAAAATCATTTATACAGTAGTAAAAGTTTATAACTAATAAATGGTTTTAGAAAGATTTAAAAGTTTTAACACTCTTCTAAATTCATCTGATTAATTAATTTCTTTTCATCCTGTTATTGAATAAAAAATTAATTTAATTATTTTATTACAAATAATGGCAAGCTTATGATTTGCACAATAAATTTTTAAATTTAATTTTGGTGAACACTACTGCATAAAATGAAATAGAAACTGGTCTATAAATATACTAATAATTAAATGAAAATGAACAAATTTGATTATAGAAGATATAAATGTACAGTATAATAAGAGAGAGGGCTTACATTTCTAAATTTTCCTTCCGAAGTTGCTTTCTCCAACCATAGCTTTCTTTAATAAATGATCAGCAGGATTGAACAATCGTAAATGTATCGTACCGAATATACTATAAAGACGAATGCGTGAAATATAAAAATAATATAAATATAATAATAACAATAATCATATAAACCTTTGGACTCCTAAATCCAATTGGCCTTTAGAATTAAATCTCACGTGTATTTTGTAAAATGTGGTCCATATCATCGCAGGTGATTGTTACCCTGGGCAAAATTAAATTTACGTGGGCAAAAGTTAGAGTTGATCGAGGAATTATGAAATTTTGCCTGGTGGTGACAATCACCTGCAGTGATATTTATCACCCAGATTTTATGAATATTAATTTAAAAATTGGGCGTTTTAATATTTTAATTTAAATTTCATATTAGTGCTTAGAAAAAATGTGTCAAAATGCTTTCTAATGCTTTCTATTGCTGACACTAAAATTGTTGAATGGAAACAAATTCTTATTTGCATAAAGCATATTCAAAGGTATGGAAAATTGATGACAATAAACTTGCTATTATTAATAAGATTATTGAAGCTTCGTCAAAGAGATTGTAAAATCCGAATTAAATATATATATATATATATATATATATATATATATATTAAAAAAAAAAAAATCCAACGGAGTTTTATTAATAAATTAGGTGTAAATTTTAAAGATACATATAATTTATTTTACATTTATTGAAACTGACTAAAAATAA